GAATATATATATATCTATATATCTATATCTATATCTATATATCCACATATAAATACACATATTATGGATACTACTGCAATGCTCACTCACCTGCGACTTCCACTTGAGCTACGTCACGATTAGCCAAACCAATGACTACACTGACACGGCCCAGCCTTGCCAGCACACGAAGTGTAGTAATCTCCTTTACATTTTTCTTCCTTCCTTTAACTGCGGTGAAATATATTTACTAATTCCTCAGCTAAAGGCAAGATCTTTAAAATCCACATCTTGATAAGGTATTTATATGAAAAAAAGAGAGAGGAAAAACAACAACATAACCATTCTTTTCCTTAGACAGTCAAAAGCTATACGTACCTAAAGATTTTCTTTTCAGTTTGCCTAAAGGCTTACTCTGGGTTTTCTTGTCTGACATTTCATCCCCTACTTTCTGCAGTGGTTCAATTGCTGTCTTCTCCTCAGCTGGTTGTGTTGGTGCAACCTCCCCTAGTTTACTTGAAAGCTGCTCAGCAAAGGCTATGATACTGAGGATGGCCGTTTGTTCTAGCTGGGCAGTCAAATTGGTAACATCCACACAGAGCAGCTGAAGGGTGGAGGCGTGCTTGCTCTCAAAGTCGGGACACTTGGGGTCTACCTGGGAAGTAACCATAGTCATTTTCCTTGAGTGAGATAGTACTATTTATTTCTAAAAAACTATTCAAACAAACATTTTAAACATGAAACAACACCAGAAATAACGTAATTCCCAAAATATCTGTAAAGAAACTAGCAATACCTGAGTGAATTTGATTGTCAGGAGTGCCTCTTCACTGCTGCCCTCTGCCAGAGGTGTACTTAGGAGCCAACGATCACAGCCATCCAGATGCTGAGGTAAGAATTCATGATTACTCATTATTTGTTCTAACTTAATACTATTAAACCCTAAAATTAAACACTATTTGTCCAAACATAATTTTGTTAATCCCTAAAATTAACTCAAATGTGCATGAGCTTTTCATGTGGCCATGCAGTCCACCAAATGGTTATATCCGTATGGGCTGCATCTGTAGGGATCCCACCTGCAGCATCGGCACTACACCACCATGGCATCATAGTAGATGACACCCACAAACAAAGGGTTAAACATTAACTGTCATAACGTAATACTGTTAATCTCTAAAAGCAATGTTATTCTCTTTCAAGACACCTCATAAGAGCATGTATAAGTACCTGGACCAATACCCCTCCAAGGATCACCGAGGCAGTGAGATCAAACGTGCGCTGGACCACTTCCACACTAGTTGATAAAGCTGACAGCTTCATCAGTGGTTGGTAAGTCTTCCCTGTGGCTCTCTTTAACTCAAGGCTTGTCTCTGAATCACAAAATCAGTAAAGACTGGTTGTTATTTCACAATATCAGCACTAGGTAAAAGAGCTACAAACAAAAGATTAACTTCTGTCTAGTAAAATAAGCAAATAATTTATTTACATGCATATGAGGCAATTTTGTTCTAATACACCAGACAATCTTTGAAAAAAAAAAAAACACTAAGACCATATAAGAAACCAGAAGTTTAAAAACTATGCTTGTAACATCACAAATTTCTTTCTATACAAGTTTTCTTCAGCAGCACACTACACAAATGCCTATGTCCTTCACATCAGATTAGGATTCACTGTCACATTCACATAGTTGTTGACAGCACTGTATACCTTTCAGAGAAAAACTGAGCTCTAGTTGGGTAAACTGGGGAGTGTCCTGCTGCTGCCCATCTGGGTTAAGTTTCACCTTCTCCAAGCGAGCAATGGCTGCATCCTCTAGGATCACATTCATGTTCAGATCAGTATCCTGCAGCAAGATAACAAATCTCAGAACAAGGACAAATCATATCAGTAATTATCTGAGTCTCACTACATAATAGTGCTTCAAAAGATTCAATAACCAGGCAATCAAAATACTCTTGATTTTTTTGTACTAGCCACCTACAATACACATAAAAAAAAACATTAAGAAAGGAAATCAAATGAAGTGGAAATACCAGTTTATCTTATAAAATAGTTTTCATTAAATTCACTAACCTGGTCAAAGTGGTCTTCATCCTCTTCCTCTTGTTCCGGCTGTTCTGGCTGAGGTATGCTGTGTGCAATGTAGGCCAGCTGAAGAAGGCGCTCATCTGTGGGGAAACAAAATTATCTTCACAATCATGTCACACTCTCCTGTGTAAAATTTTCATCCTCCGAGTTTGGTTATTCAAGGAAATGTCTGGTCATAGGGAGCCTAAAGTCCCACTCACTCTTATGTTTAAAAGCCAACTGTTAAATGGAATTAATTGCAGGATTAACACAATACCTAAAGGCTGGAGATGTGAATACATAAACTGAGTGAATGCTTGTATTCCTATGAATACCAGGGAACGTTTATCTTATGGTTTACTACATAAAGAACTATACCTTTAAAATACTATATCTTCCTGGTATAACATGAAAAAGTAACAAATGTGAGTTGTGGAAGTTGACATTTTAGAAAACATATATGGCCACACTAGCAATTTAATACAAACACTGTTAGCAGAAATCCTATATACCAATAACAAAAAAAGCCAACAGATTTTACAATCACAGACATATACTTACAAGTTCAAATGCTACCAAGGTCACAAGAAACTGTAACACAGCCAAAGGAACCCACAGGAACACCTACCTACAATAGAAAGGGTCACATTGGGTAGGGACACATTGACCTTAACCTTGGCCAAGTTAGGGTCATCTGTAAGGAGGCACTTAAGAAGATCCACATGTAGAGTGGTCGGCTGAAGAAGATGGAGAGGCGTAGGTTCCTTTGAACTCAGAGTGGTTCTCCAGTCTTCTCCAGACATGGCTACAACAGCCTGTAATGTGAATATTTTGTAGATCACATACCCAAGTCACACACATTCACACTACTCTCATCTAATTCCATAATATAATCATGTTGGCTTATCAAAACTCAGGAAATGCATCTACAGACAGTCCATTCAAAATCTAGTTATGAATTGTTTCCTTTCTAACATATTCAAACGAATAAAACACAACCACTTTTCCAACATTTAAATCTTAGCACGCCTGCTAGACAAACAACTGAATGGCCCTTCTAACCTGAGTATCTACGAGCTCAATAGTGAAGTGGTCATATGAAGAGGACCTGACTACTTCCACGACCTCCTCCTGTGACATGCCTCGGGTCACCAGGTCAGTGAGAGCCGGAGCATCTCTCTTTCGAGGTACTGTTTTCATAGTCATGCTACCCAGAGTCAGAACCACAGCAGAACAATCTCTGAAATGGAGAAAGATGGATTAAATTATCCTCAACCAACACATTTCTATCTTTACAGCGTCTCTGCCTGATATATTTTCTTCTTTTATTTCTTTGTTACTTTTTTTTTTTTTATTATTATGTTTTTTTATATCAAGGTTTAAATGACCTTTGATTCTACAGAACACTTGTGAATGTCATGCATTTAATCACATTCAGATACTTGATTATAAAAAAATATATATATATACAAAACAAATCTTCATGATAAATTAAATATTGAAGCACCTGCTGAATATAAAAAGTCTAATCATTTTAAGAAAAATCCTTCAAACAGAAACTGAATTAAACTATAATAAAGAAATACACATATTTTCCCCTTACTTGCTATACACTCCTTTCTCAGGAACAATCACATGCGAAGCTGCGATGGCAATGTTCAGATCCAGTACACTGTGGTTATCAATGGCAGCCTGAAGACCGGTGACACTTCTCTCCTTCACCACTTCGAACTGGTTTAGGGCTGCAGCTTGTAGTCTAAGATAACATAATAAAGAAAATATGTTGAATACCATATATAAGCCCTGAAAAAGCACCAGTCTTGAAATATAAATGAATAAATTAGTGGGCAAATAAATAAATACATTAAAAAAAAGATAATATATGATAATAAATAGATAAACAAGTAAAACTATGGAAAATGAATCAAATAAGCTGGTTGAAACTAAAAAATGGAAGACACAAACCCCCTAAAAATGCTTGGAATAATATATCACAAAGAATAGAACATCTTCCCTACTCTCATACTTACTGCTGCAAGGAAATATTCTTTGGAGGTGCAAAGACATCCCGCAGCTGGTTGAACGTAGCCGCATCATACACCAGCTGCAAGGGCTGAGCCTCCAACTTAACTCTCTGGTCACACGACTTGTCCATTGGATTGGTCTCAAACAGCACCTGGAGGAGTGGTTTCTCCTTCGAAGTGTCCTCTGATGTCACCAGTTCAGGAGGAGAACCGTTGGTGGAAAAGCCTTCCACCACAAAGCTCTGCACACTAGTGACAACCCTGTCAGAAGAAGGAAAGGTCAAGAGTAATTATGGAGTCAATTAGATTTTTTTTTTTTTCTTTTATTATTATGTTTTTTTATATCAAGGTTTAAATGACCTTTGATTCTACAGAACACTTGTGAATGTCATGCATTTAATCACATTCAGATACTTGATTATAAAAAAATATATATATATATACAAAACAAATCTTCGTGATAAATTAAATATTGAAGCACCTGCTGAATATAAAAAGTCTAATCATTTTAAGAAAAATCCTTCAAACAGAAACTGAATCAAACTATAATAAAGAAATACACATATTTTCCCCTTACTTGCTATATACTCCTTTCTCAGGAACAATCACATGCGAAGCTGCGATGGCAATGTTCAGATCCAGTACACTGTGGTTATCAATGGCAGCCTGAAGACCGGTGACACTTCTCTCCTTCACCACTTCGAACTGGTTTAGGGCTGCAGCTTGTAGTCTAAGATAACATAATAAAGAAAATATGTTGAATACCATATATAAGCCCTGAAAAAGCACCAGTCTTGAAATATAAATGAATAAATTAGTGGGTAAATAAATAAATACATAAAAAAAGAAAGAAAGAAATGATAATATATGTTAATAAATAGATAAACAAGTAAAACTATGGAAAATGAATCAAATAAGCTGGTTGAAACTAAAAAATGGAAGACACAAACCCCCTAAAAATGCTTGGAATAATATATCACAAAGAATAGAACATCTTCCCTACTCTCATACTTACTGCTGCAAGGAAATATTCTTTGGAGGTGCAAAGACATCCCGCAGCTGGTTGAACGTAGCCGCATCATACACCAGCTGCAAGGGCTGAGCCTCCAACTTAACTCTCTGGTCACACGACTTGTCCATTGGGTTGGTCTCAAACAGCACCTGGAGGAGCGGTTTCTCCTTCGAAGTGTCCTCTGATGTCACCAGTTCAGGAGGAGAACCGTTGGTGGAAAAGCCTTCCACCACAAAGCTCTGCACACTTGTGACAACCCTGTCGGAAGAAGGAAAGCTCAAGAGTAATTATGGAGTCAATTAGAAATAATTTTTTTTTGAGTAAAGTGTACACAAAAGCAGTTAAAGACTTTCATAATGCTAGCAATTTGTATGTCACTTCTACATATAAGTAATATAAAATCATTGTGTCTAATGAAATGTAAATCCTTTACAATATTATAACAAGTAAAAGCATAGTGACATTAACCAAAAAAATGAACTCATTTCACTTTTCTTAAACAAGATAAATTATATCTCCATTCTATCAGACAGATATAATTCAAAAGTACATGAGTGTCACAAACTTTTATAAATGAAAATGAATCAAAAGTTTACCAACCCAACATGGGTGTATATAGTACTGAAACGTGAAATAAAAACATCCACAAAAACTTTACCTAACAGAATCAGCTGCCGATCTCCTTTTCAAATCCAAAGTGACAGTATTGAGCTTGGCCTTTGTGACTGTAGCACCTTCATTCTCATCGTCCTTGATAATCAAGACCAGCTGCTTCAAGAGGAATTCCAGCTGTATGTCCTCAAACTCCTCTGGGTACTCTGGGGGGATGCCGGTTTCCGAGTAGCCAATGGCCTCGTACAGGTTCTTCTTCTCTTCGTCACCCATTGCCTCCTCCAGCTTCTTGACTGATGAGTAAGAAGAGCATGGAATGAAAACAAATAAATTCTTTATGTTATTGCCTTAACAACTCTTTTAGTAGTAACTGATAAAATGCTCAATGACATAACATGCCTCCACATTCATAAACCACCATGTGTCATTCAATCTAGTATCTCTTCTTCCTTTAACCCAAACTGGTTATAACACTGCATCCCTCGCTCACCTAAGCTCCCCTCTGCAGCTTCCTTCTCATCCTGCTGCTGGCCGCCCCACGAGAACCAACCTCCGAACCAGCCCTTTTGCTGTTGTTGCTCCTGCTTACGAAGCGCTCCCTCCCGCTCAACCTGAATTAAGGGCAAAACTGTTAGTGTGGCGTGATCTCCAAGGTGATGCTTTTTATGTACTAGGAATCTGGCAATATCAGTCTTAATTATCTTGAAATTTAGATTTTCCTTCAGCAATATCAGTTTTAATTATCTTGAAATTTAGATTTTCCTTCTAATATAATAGCTTTTTCTATCTATTTATACCTAAAGATAGTAAATGTTAAGACATGTCAAGACAAAATAAAACAAAGAACAAGAGATGAACCTGATGCCATCTCATTATATCTTCATCAAAACTACATTCTGATAGAGATTCACTGAAAACATAATAAACCGATCTCTTTCACTGTGCAGCTGTCTATTATCACTTATCCCTTTTTCTACATGTCATAACAAATGTGTCATACCTCCATTTCAGCTTGGCGGCGCATTAGTGTGATGTTGAAGACATCCAGGGCCCTTTCTCCATCTTCAATTTCCTTAACTTGCTCTGGAGTTAATTTCTTACTTTCCAGCTTAAGCTTATAGACTGCTTTGTAGGAACGACACCGACATCTGTGTTCTCTGATGCGCTTCCATGACCAGTTGCGATGAATGCGCTGAATGTTTTCCAAGTTGCAATTATAAGCATAATGCCACCTGGAAAAAAATTATGCAGGTTTTAAACTTCATATGGATCAAATCAGTGGACATGAACACATTGGGGATTCTTAAAAATCAATTTAGTTTATACCACAGATAACAAATGTTTATTTCTTTACCCATCTATACCCATTCAGTTCCTCTTTGTGTATTGTTCTATATTACTATACTGTTAATATGTAAAAATATATATTGAAAAAATAGGTATTCTTTATAACAAACCCCTTTTAAAGTATCTATTTAGAGATCAAATTAATATTTTTGGCACTCACTTCATCAAGATGCAATTACTCTGGAATTATTTTCATGAATATTAATAGTCTTAATATGCAAATACACTAATCCTGTGAAAACTTAAAATGTAATCAAATAAAAACATAAACATGACATATAACCTAATGTTGCCAGGTACTAAATAACTTCTTGTTATAAATGCCATAAGATACAAGAAATAACGTTAGGGAATCAGGACAATAACTAAGGCCTTATCACTCACCAATGTCGGGCATTATTCTTAATTCCCATGACATTGGGTCGATATTTGCGGTACATAGACGAGAGCCTCATCCTGTCCATAGAATCCAGCAAAGCCATGAGGTCCGAATATTGGTGTCGGGTAAGACCTGTCACACGTTGAAAGGGAAAAACAAATGAACCTTTCTAAAACCACCAGAAAAAAAAAAGATAGACAGATAGAGGATCTAAGACTTATGAATAGAGGATCTGAGAGTATAGCACACCTAGCAATAGATGTCTTTGCCAAACACTTCACAGAACAAGGGCACCTTTGTGCCTGACACTGTACAGGGAGCTTGGTTCTTACCTATTGCAAGCTCGTCCATGACAAAGTTGAGAAGGACCTTGGGAGTGCTGAACTTTATCTCGTCCGTTTCTGGCTTGGGGTTCACCTGAAGCTTTGCCATCGAACGAATTGGCCCAATCACTGAAAAAGGAAATGTAAAGGATAAAGCAAGAGAGAAAGGGATGGGATGAGGGAGGAAGACTGACTGACTGACTGACAAAGGGACAGATAGACAGACAGACAGACAGTCAGGGAGACAAATAAATAGACTGATAATTGGGAGGAAATATATATACATTCACTTGAACTATCTGTAACACCAGCCTACTAAAGCTAATTACAGCAACTCTTCACAGGTGATACAGAAAAAAGAAAATGAACTTTAATATCTAATCTACAGTTATCAGGTTCAAGACTTCCCCTAGTCAGTACCGTAATGCATTTCTGCCGGCAGATTATCGCGGGACGCTATAATACTCTGGAGACTCTTCACGATTTCTTCCTTTGAGAGATCCGTCTGGGAAAACAACGTTGCCTTTGGGTTCCAGTAAATTCCTAGACTGTCCAAGTTGTTGATCTGAAATCAGGTGAGGGACACTTTGATGTCGTTCTCTTGAGAGAATGTAAAAGAAAGAGGCTTCCACTCTCATTTCATGAATGTATATAAGTCATACATATACATGTATGTATGCATGTATGTATGTGTGCATGTATGTATGTGTGCATGTATGTATTTATGAATGTCTGTATGTACCCATCTGTGTGTGTGTGGATATATAAATGGATAGATAGATGAATGGATTTTATATATATATATATATATATATATATATATATATATATATATATATATATATATATATATTATATTATATATACATATATATGACATGAACTGACCTTGTAAATGAGTTTGTCTTGGTGGATGCATTCTTTCCAATTGGCATCAGTACTCTTCATGGAGAGGTCGTGGAGAGTTAGTCCGGCCGCAAAGGGTGAACCTGGTTTAGTGATACAGTCTTCATACCTGTGGATTAAGTTAGCAATAAGATAAGGGCTTCTGTAATTGATCTAATTGTAGCTAATGAAATCAATAAAACCTGTCCGAATTTATGGACTTTGCTGAATAACTTGTGGAAGAACAGAATTTTTACAAATAAATATCACTGGTTCCTGAGCCAAATACTTTGCAGTTGAAAGATACAGATATGCCCCATGCTTTTTCTTGGCCGATGGCTTCAACAGGACAGAAAGAGCAAAGCCAAGATTTTTACAGATCCTAAAAATTTTACTGAGTTATTTATAGATTAAATAACAAATGGCCAAGCTTTCTTTTTAATGGTGACATCCCACTGGACTGTGTAACAGAAATCTCGGCTTTCATCTATGCATTATTGTTCTGACTTATTCATCCTTCCTTAACTTACCGTATGTGTATATCCTTGATGGTAACCTGAATGTTACGAATGGCCTGCACCATCAGCTTCTCAACAAAGCCCTCAGCCTGGGGACCTGGCACAAGAATATGAGAGTTTCGTATCATAATAAAAAACAAATGGACTTAAAATATACATTTTGTTCAGGTGGTAGATCCACACACTACCCCTGAGCTATTATATAAATGAATTAATCACCAATCTGATAACACTGTCATGCTTCCTTCCACCTTTTGTTACGTCTCAAAAGATAGCAATTCTGAGATGCTGTGCTATCTTCCCTTAAGTAAGACAGATACCCATACTATTTTGACTGAGGAAAGAAATCTTCAAAGAGATTAGCCCATCTGCGGCAGATGTAGGATATGTAAGGAATGGGCATTAAACTACAAAATCATTGTCATTAAAAATGTACCTTTCTCGTCCTCCCTCAGCTTCTGCCTGGCCTCCTCGAGACGCTGGAGGGTGGCCAGCTTGACCTCGTGCTTCAATTGCTTCTCCTTCTCTTCATTGTAGGTGATTGTGGTATTAGGCACCACCACAATCACCAGCTTCTCCACCACCGCTATCCACTGGGAGTTGTACCAGCTCTTCCATGGTATTTTCAACTTCAGACAACCTGCAAGCATTGTAATTCCTTCATGAGAGACTGCAATACCAAGATAAAAAAATGCCTCAGCAAACTTTCAATTAATGTCACTAAAGACTCCAAATATATAAATACTCAACTGAACACTCACCAACATGGCCAAACACTGGTCTAACAGGCAAGTCCAAGTCATCAAACGCAGTCTGTTTCAAGACCAGGTCAGTCAGCACAGCATCACCTGTAGTAATAAGATTGATACATGAGTGATAAGCATTAATTTCACTATTAGCCTAATCATTCAGCCAATGATTCCCTTGAGGATGGGTGACATCTGCAGATCCCAGATAATGTCATTGATGGTGGCTGTGATGATCATGATATTAGTGATGATAATAGTAAGTTAATGCTATCATATGAATACCCCTACATTCTTTTTTATTCCACTCCCTTTATGAATGTTTTGTCTGATTTCATTACACTCTGTATTAAATAAGGATAATTTTGGATACATTTATGGTACAGACCAGTAAAGAATTAAACAGAAAGTAGAGACAGATCCTGATAAAGGAAGATATGTGGAGGTTGGGATAGTTACCTATTAACAGACCTATTAACCACATGCCACTGGGGAAAATGCATAAAAATGGGGAAACTGCTGTGCTAATTTCCTATGTTTTGTGAAATGTCTCGGCCCATAGATGGCTCTGCTACAGCTTAGCCACAAAGAAGTCAGTTAGTAGACCTTGTGACCTTAACTAATTTCACCTTTCTCTTAATTGATGGGAAAAACATATTTTTTATTAATGCTATTACTATCGATGGTGTTATTTTCATCATAAACATTATAATCACTATGTCATAAACATTAGTAACAGCAAAATAAGATAATGTAAAATATTTTCGTAAATCAAGGAAAAGGGTAAACAGGCGAGTACTCATAATTGGCTCATTATTGACTTACTACAAGTGTAGCCATCTATATGTAAAAACAATTAAAAAAGTAAACTCACAGTGGGCATGGCAAGTACATGCATGCCATGCCCATCAGCATTGGGTTAAAACTATAAAGATGAGTCAAGTATATGAAGGGAAACAAGTGGATGAATTCTGGTGATGACCTCAACTTCGCAGAAATTTATAAATAGACTATCATAAAACTGCATGTGTGGGGTACATATAGACCAGAAAGCAAATTATTAGATTATTATTAGTGCATTTTGAGACAGACTGGCCTCTTTTAAGACACATAACTGTGCGTATAATCCATGGTCAAAAGCCCCTTCTCATGCATAAGATTATCGAACTTGCTTCTCTTTCCTTTGCAAACAAAATTCTAAAGTAGAGGTCTGAGTTCACCAACTGCTTCTAGTTTATTTATAGTTTCTTTTAATTAACTGGTCTGCCTTCAGGATTAAGTGTAAAGTAAAGGATGAATTGTGATAAAAATTTAAAGGTGGGTTGCCCATGCTTAGAATTTGGGAAGTCATAAGTTGGTAAGTAGATGCACATAATGTTTACGAGGGTATATTACAAGTAGATATAATATTTCAGTTGATGGAATATGCAAAAAAGTGCAGACTTTAGAAGAATAAATTTACATTAAAGGTAGAATATGCAGATTTCTTGCTTAGAGAGATGAAGGTAGTACGAAAATAGTGATGGAGGTGATGTTAATGTACATATTCTCTGAGAGTAAGCGACAACAAAGATGTTAAATGAAAAACATAATAAAAAAAAATGTAGGAGAATCTTTATTATATGGATTAACAAAAACAAAAATTGCCAATTTCAAATCTGTTCTTCAGAATCAGCTAACATGTACCATAGGAGAACAATGAACAAACAAACAACTAGATATGCATACCCTCACTGGGGCATATGGCCATCATATATTATTTTCTGAGTGCTTTCTTATAATAAAAAAAAAGAGAAAGACCATCACTCAAACTCAGTTTCTAAATTCCACTCTAACCTATCCCTACCCCATATCCTTCTTATTTATCCATCTATCTTTCTTACCCTTCATTCCTCCATTCCTCTATTCCATCTTCTCCTAACCGCCTATCCCTATATCTATCCATTCCATCATCCAATTTTTTCTAGTCACCCATTTATTCTTCTATCCTTCAGCTCAATTACTAATGCCATTCATCCTTTCATATGTACATTCACCTCTCTACCTATTCCTCACCTTCATCTCTATCCCTCCTTCCATCCTTCTAGTCAACCATTCACACCCTCAGTGTTTCCTATCCACCCTTTCACCCTTCTTTTAAATATCCATCTCCCTCATTCTTTATGTCTATCCATCCTTTTATCCATCTATTCAACCATCTGCTCTTCCGGTGTTCACATTTTTTTTTTATCATACCATCCTACTATTCGACCGTCCTTCGGCTCTATCACTAACACCATTCAACTTTTCATATGTTTACTCAACTATCCACCTATTCTTCCCCTTCGCCTCTATCCATCCTTCCGCCCTTCTATTCAACCACTCCTTCATGATACTATCCCCAATACCACCTATCCTATCATCCACTGTTTTATCCTGTATCAAATATCTATCTATCTACTTTTTTCTTCTATCTGTCCACTTGTCTATCTATCTATTTACCCACCAGTCTATCCACCTATCTATCTATGACTCTATCTATCTATCTATCTATCTCTATATCAGATTATTGATAAATCCATCTAGCCACCTATCCTTTTATCTGTATATCCAACTATCTATCAAATCTATCTATCTATTGATCTATCTATCTATCTATCTATCTATCAATTTATCTATTGATCTATCTAATCTATCTATCTATTGATCTATCTATCTATCAAATCTATCAATATATCCAGTTATCAATCTATCAATTTTCCAAGCTGTCATCCTATCCCTCCCTTCCTCACCCCTCACTCCAGTTCCTCCTCCTCATCCCTTCCCTCTCCTCCCCTCCTTCCTCCTCCTCCCCTTCACCCCTCCCCCCTCCTTATCCTTACCTCAGTTCCCCACCCCATCCCCTCTTCACCCCTCCCTCCCCCATCCCCGAGGCTATCCTCATCACCCCCCCCTGCAGTCCCACTCCCTTCCCTCTCCCCCCACATCCCCTTCCCTCCCTCCCTACCCCCCCTCTCCCTCCTTCCCAACACCCCTCTCCCTCCCCCATCCCTCTCCCTCTTCCCTCTCACCCCCTCCCTCTCCCTTCCCTCCTCCCTCACTTTCTTCCTTCACTCTACCCCCCCCTCCCTTCCTCCTATCCCCTCCCCATCATCCCCTTCACACACACCCCATCCCCTTTCCTTCACCCCCCCTTCCTCCCTAACCCCCCCCCCCCGCCTTCCTCCCCACCATCCCCGGCGCCTCCTTCCCGCACTCCTACCCACGAGTACCCGGAACGAACGCCCCCCCCTCCCTCCCCCCGCGCCCGCCCACCCGTCCGCCCGTGTCACTTGCAGGCGTCTTGAGTCCTGTTTGAACGACCTCGATTGCAGACTTCTCGCTTTGGAAGTAAGGGAGAGGGGAAAGGTTAGGGGAGAGGGGAGAGGGGTTAGGGGAGAGGGGAGAGGGAAAGGTAAGGGGAATAGGGAAGGTAAAGGTAAGGGGGGGAGGGGGAGGGGGAGGGGGAAAGGGGAAAGGGGAAAGGGGAAGGGGGAGGGGGAAAGGTAAAGGTAAGGAGAAGGGGAAGAGGGAAAGGTAAGGGGAATAGGGAAGGTAAAGGTAAGGGGGAGGGGGAAACGTAAGGGGAATAGGGAAAGGTAGATGTACGGGTGAAGTGGGAAGGGTGAGGGGGGAAGGCGAGGGGGAAAGGTAAGGGGAAGGTGGGAAGGTAAAGGAACAGGGGAAAGGCGGAAAAATAGTGGAAGGGAAGGGGGGAAGGGCAGTGGAAGGGAAGGGGGGAAGGGCAGAGGAAGGGGGGGGGGAGAAGGAGGGGAGGTTGGAAGGGAGGGGTAGGGGCAAGGTTCAAAGATGGAGGGGGAGGTTGAGGAAAAGGTAAAGGGAAGGGTAGGGCAAAGAAAGAGAAGGGAAAATAAAAGGGAAAGGGAAAGTTAGCGGTGATTTTCGTGCATGGGGAAAGCAACAAGCAAACGGGGAAGTGATAAGACTGATTCACGAGACGTACAGACAGGGGGGTGGGGGGGGGTTGGTAAAAGTACCTTTAACAACACTCGAAATACCTAACCAACACACCCTTTGCCAATTCGCACGTGGCCAAATAGTGTCGGCGTTTTCACATTCCTTTTTTATTTTTTGCTTCGATACGATAAATGAAAATACTACTTCTACCCAGCAATGTATTAAAATTAAAAGCCTGAACCCGCCCGCTCTCACATCTCCACCAAAATAAACAGACGAACGAAGGGAGGGAAAAAAATGGAAAAAAAATGTAAGCCAAGAGGGAGGGTAAATATGCCTCTAGTGAAAACAACGATTTTCTCTTTTCTCTTTTTCCTCTTTTTTTTTTTGCAATTTATACTTTCTCTTTGCGTTTCCTTATTTTGCCTTGAGAGAAAGCGAAGGGGAGGGGGGAGAAAGAGAAAGAGAGAAAGAGAGAAAGAGAGAGAGAGAGAGAGAGAGAGAGAGAGAGAGAGAGAGAGAGAGAGAGAGAGAGAGAGAGAGAGAGAGAGAGAGAGAGAGAGAGAGGGGGGGGGGAGAGAGAGAGAGAGAGAGAGAGAGAGAGAGAGAGAGAGAGAGAGAGAGAGAGAGAGAGAGAGAGAGAGAGAGAGAGAGAGAGAGAGAGAGAGAGAGAGAGAGAGAGTTGGTGAGTGAATGAGAGAGAGAGAGAGGGAGAGAGAGAGAGAGAGGGAGAGAGAGGGAGAGAGAGGGAGAGAGAGGGAGAGAGAGGGAGAGAGGGAGAGAGGGGAGGGGGGAGAGAGAGAGAGAGAGAGAGAGAGAGAGAGAGAGAGAGAGAGAGAGAGAGAGAGAGAGAGAGAGAGAGAGAGAGAGAGAGGAGAGAGAGAGAAAGAGAGAGAGAGAGAGAGAAGAGAGAGAGAGCGAAAGAGAGAGAGCGAAAGAGAGAGAGCGAAAGAGAGAGAGAGAGAGAGAGAGAGAGAGAGAGAGAGAGAGAGAGAGAGAGAGAGAGAGAGAGAGAGAGAGAGAGAGAAAGAGAGCGAAAGAGAGAGAGAGAGAGAGAGAGAGAGAGAGCGAAAGAAAGCGAGTGAAAGAGAAAGAGAGAGAGAGCGAAAGAGAGAGAGCGAAAGAGAGAGAGAGCGAAAGAGAGAGAGAGAGAGAGAGAGAGAGAG